GTAATCTTAATTTTGCCAGCGCCTTTGACAAAATGGCAATATCTGACAACATGGTTTATTGCACCATATGTGCAATAAACAGCATACATTTGCTTTAATAACATGACTTCCACTCAAATATCTTTTCACTTATTTGCCAATTTCAGGGAAATGTCTGGATGTTAACATGATTTCATTCTAGCGATTTTAATGTAAAACATAAGTGCTTCTAATATTTATATAATTTTAACCTTTTACAGGCTTGGAGATGGCAGCGAATTTTTGTTCCAGTGTAAAGACGAGGTGAGTTGAATTAAATCTGACTTTCTCCTGGACTTGAATTATTCTGGTCAAAAGGCATCTCATATAATTGCTGACCCTATGTAAAGCAGTAATCACAGGTTGCAATGCTACAGATAGCAGTTACGCATTTGCATTTAATTTTCCGAACTGTTTCCATTTAGCATTGCTGTCCATGTCTAAGCAATTTGGCAAGGTTGTAGATTCTGACATAAATGAGGTTATTCGTGTTTCTTTCTGAATCACTATCAGCTAGTGAGAAATTTACCCTACGGGAATCATTAAGCCTCACAGAATAAGAATGCTGACAGTGAGTTTGTCTTTATCTACATTACCCCAGTTTAACCTCACCAGCATTTCAAGTTTCATTGTTAAAAGCGTGGCCACCTCTGCTTGTTTATGCTAATAGACTGGGAGACCAAAACACTCACTGCCCCTCCGGAGGTAGACTTCCCTTTCTAAGCTGCTGCGATGTGTGCGTGTGTTTAATTTCAGGAAGAGCTCCAGCGTTGGAGCCAGGCCATGGAAAAGGCCGTTCAGCCCCTGGCAGCAGAGGAGGCATCGGGGCCCTCGGGGGCCAAAGCCCAGAGCCTGCCCCCTCCCTCCTCCTCAGCTGCACTCCCTGAGCCCAGCTCTGCCAAGAAAGACAAGGAGAAGAAGTTTAGCCGCTTTGCCAAGAAGAAGTGAAAGAGACGGGAAGGCCATCAGGAGGAGGGGGTTGTCTAGGCAACCTGGGAAGAGAAAGTATTGTGTACAATCAATCAAAGTATGCTTTTTGTCACTAGATTTTCTATATTATTTTGTGAGAATTACCATAAATATTGTAGTTAAAGTCATCACTCTTTTGCCTGTATTTAAGTCAGTGTATGTCTACAATGGTCCACTGTTTTTGTTTGTTCTTTTTAAGAAATGCCAAATTCAAAGCATTAAATTAAAGCACAGGAATGCTCCTCTTCACACACAACCAAAGAATGTTTGTAAAACTTTTCATTTTGATAATTTAGCTGAAGTTTTTTTGTCTTTTTTTTTTGTTTCACTAAGGCATGCTTTGATATAGCCATGTATAACATGAAGGCCTGTAATGAAGATGACTCAAGAGTACTGAAAAGTACTTTTAATAACCTGCCTTATCAAATGGTTGTGAACTGTAATACTGTGCTGTTTGAATTTGGAGCACTAAATGCTACGTAAAGAACCAGAGTTTAATAATCTTTTTTTTTTTTTTAAAGAGCTTTGTAAATGGCATGTAAGATTTGGGGATGAGAAAACCTCAGCATAGTGCTGTACAGTATATACACACACACTCTCCAAGTATATCTGCAGTTATGCAAACTAAATGCTCTATGCACTGTGAATGATTGACTTGAGATTTTAAATTGCTTACCAACATTGCACGAGCGGTCATGTGACACCACAATGTGTCAGTTTTGAATAAGGACCCATTCAGGTTTATTCTCAATTGAACTGTGGCAGTGTTCATGTCTGTCAGCTTGAAATCTATTTAACACTTGTGTAAACTTAAATTTCAGAGCTATCCATCAACATATACCGTATATACATATATATATATATATGCAGATGCATGAAGTATGCTTTACATTAGTTTGATACGGTGCTATTGTCATATTCTTAAAACTTCAAACAAGACCAACTTGACCTGCCTTGTTTGTCTTCAACTTTGGCTTGTAGTGACACACGTAAAAAGTCTGAGGGGTGCTTCATAAAGGTGGCTCAGAAAAGCAGTGGTTATTCAGGTTTATATGCATCAAGTATTAATAGCATTTACAGTCACAGATCATCTTAATTACCCTTTTAAAATGCACAAAAAAAAAGCAGAAATAAGCACAATCACTGCCATGTACAAAAGACAGCTTTTGTTATGGAGTTGTAGGTCAGTGATGAGCTCAGACTCACAAAATAGGGATCAAATCTGCAACACTGAACTGTTCATTTGGAGTTCTTTACCTGTAATTATGACTTCACGGGTTCCCGTGAGAGTAGTTTTTCTTTGTGCAGTTAAAGCTAAAACTTCAAGTGCAGTTGAAGTTTTATTGTAACGAAATATAAAAAGCAAGTGTTTTTTTTTTAGAAATCAGAACTTCTCCATCTTTGAATTTTACTACTTGGTTTGTGAAAACATGATACTGGATAAATGCCTTCAGGTGTGTACTTTTTAATTACAGAAACATGCTGACCCAAATAAGGCTAAATAAAAAATATGGGTCAAGAAGACAAAAGCACAAGCCAAGTATTTAATCTGACAAATGGGTCACGATCAAAGACAAAGTACAGGGGGTAAATGACTACACAGAGGTGCAAAACAACTATGAAAATAAAAGACCATGCAGCAGCACAACATGATGGGAGGTTAGGGGCTTTTTACATGTACTGTATTTGCCCCAGAACCCCCGTTATGTGTTCATGCCCAGCAGTCCTTGCTTTATGAAACACCCCTCTAGTCTTGCAAGTTGAATTTTATTTATTACACAAATAGAAATGCTAAAAGACGACAAAATGTTAGCATCAGAATGAACTAGAATTTAAATCAGGTGCTGTTATTCACAAAAGCAGTTTACAAGAGCCTGCATCATTATTTGAAGTTTTATAGAACTAGCCAAAGTCTAGAAAAGCAAAGGGTTGCATGAGCCTTTCCTGCTTTTCCACACCACACAACAGGACCAGGCATGCTCCCCAACCAAGGAGAGGATCGTACAGTAGCCGTACGGAGCTGAAGGAATGTGTTTTTAATATGAATGTAAGGAGTGGAAATAAGTTCATATGGGAATTTCCAACAATAAAGCCATTACAGAAATCAGCATTTTAATTAAAAGTATGTACAGTTCATGGATCTGCATTTATACTTTGATGCCAGGATGGGGACTCTGTCAGTCTCACTGCCGTTTTGCCTTGTCCCCGAATTATGATCCAACTCAAGTGACCTCACTGAAGCGATGGAAGTCAAATCTAGGAGGATAAATGTTCAGCTCGAGTGTTTTCTAGGAAACTTGGTAGCATCTCTGTCTACAGATTAAAGCAATTGTTAAGCCATGATCTTCTTGTGGCTGTATGAACACAAACTACAGAAGCTTCTGTGCGCCTTGTGCCAGCAGAACATCATGACCATGCTACTCAAATTTTTTAGCACCTCAAAATGTTTTGAGACTTGCATCCCACAGATTCACTATGCTTTTTGTTGGTCGATATATCTACAGATTGACACTTCGACTTTGTCACCTTCATCCACACTGTTATTCCTTCACACCTTCCCTACCTGCCTTTTCTGTTTAGTGGTTTTTAAAATTGCATTTTGTACTTTCCAGGTATGTAAAATATCCAAAAATGTTGACCCTACAAAAAGAAAACAACAAAAAAACAAACAAAAACATTTTGAAATAAAGTTAAATTAAAATTATGATAATATACAAGCTTGTTTTGTTTTTGTTTTTTTTAAATGAATGCAGTCTTTAATTATTGTCACTACATCAAAAAAAAGAAAAAGTGCATTCAATTGAATTTCAGAATAGATTTATTGAGTATAAACAATTCAACAGTGGCAAGCGTGAAACAAGGCATTTTCACTTTGAGCAGTCATCCGCTCACCGAGCTAATTTCAGATAAGATGAGCTCCATATGAACATATTTAAAATACACAAAACTGTTGTATTTACATTCCAGTGGCTGTGGGTGAAACAATGAATAAACAGCTTCCAGACAGCAAGGCAGCTTTAGAATAGACTAATTAGATCCGAGCTCATACGTAACAGGCTGAGGATGATCACTTATAGCAATACAAAGCCCTGAAAACAGTTCATTTCAATCCTTACAAACTGAGTAGGTATATGCCTGCAGCACAGCATACAAATTAGCATTTTTCTTCAAAACAAATAAGCAAGAAGATTCATATGAGAGATAGTTTGGCCACACTGTATCCCTTTATCAATGGCCAATTTTCTTCAGCGAGCCTTAATACAACCCACCAGGACTTATTGTGCCTCTGTGTTTACCCCTTTAACAACTTTCACTTACATGTATACTTTTTGCATTTTTGCTGCCAGCGACGATTTCTCAGCCTGGCTACAGCTTCGACAAAACAAATTTAAATTCTCCTTTCCATCGTCAGATGATATTGTACCATAGCCGTGCTGTAAAGACTATTTACACATGTAAGAGGAGCCTTTTACGATGCAGCGGCTGTTACAACACAACCGTACATCGTGTATAAGATTGATTGGGTTCCTACAGATTTCCCCACTTTTTAAAAATCAAAATGTTTTCTGGACTCATTTCTCTAGGTTATCGTTTTTAAAATGCCAAGATTTTAGTAACCAACTGGCCTGAACCTAGCACATAAAGAGACCTCACATCAGGTTAAACAATCATCATCTGTGGTTCAGAACTGAACAGTTGCACAATTATCAAATTGCCCTGCACAGGTTGTTATGTCTCCTCTTGTAAGCTACTAATCTCCATTACCCATTAAGAGGAAACAAAGTTAAGAAATTAGATTAACAGGATGACTAGAGGCAATTAAACAGTATTTACATCAACACTGATCAAAGTGAAGAAACAGTGAACATGGAAGAGAGCAGTTCACCTACTGTTACATTTCCCAAGTTCAGTGTTACTGTGAAGTAAACTAAACGCTTCAGGACAGGTAATGATAAACAGACCTCATGATCCTTGCAGACCTTCCTTCTCATAAGGAGGACGAGTGATTGCTATACAATGTTTCTAACCACAGGTCATCTCTTTGTAGCAAGTAATTACAATGACCTTAACTCCCCATCTATCAGAAATTTTAAGTAGTAACAACATCAATCTTCTTTCATTCAGGTACAACATTAGATTTTTATTTTTATTTATTTTTTTTAAATAGCCCTTTTATATGAACAGGCATAAATGGCATGGGAACAAAGTGTTAAAGAGAACTTTATTCGCAAGTCATTTCTGCTTCATGAGTAATTAAATAAGCAAATAATATCAAAGCATTACACATGATACAATAAACCTAATTACACAATGATAAGGTGTATGTATAAGGATTTGAGTAAGATGCATTTCAGACCAGAGTTGATGTTTCCTTTTAAACTACATGAGGCTGTACATACATCGACAAAACAGCTCATTATTCTTAGATGAGAAAGAAAAAAACAAAACAAAAAACAAAACGGAAAGCAGCAAATGTGCCGCTTCCCTCCCTGTGAAGGTTACATGTATGTAGTTTGGTATCAAACAGCAGTGATAGGCAGTCAGCCACTTACTGAAGTATCTCACACCGTTTCTCACAGTCCAGCATGACTAGGCGTGTGTGTAAAAGGGTGTGAATAGTGGTGGACAGTCTAAGAAGTTGTCTTCACTCTACTTACAACTACTACTGGCAAAACTTCTTCATGAGAGAATTTCTTTTTACTTGCAAAGTATGTTTGCAGATGCGCACAAATATTCAGTGTGTGTGTGTGTGTGGCGAGAGAGGCTCAAGGTTGATGAAACTAGCAGAAGCGGGATTTCTCGTCTATTTGATGAGCTTGTTGGCCCTCTGGTTTGCTTCATCAATGCGCAGCTTGTTCATGTCCGCCTAAAGACACAGACAGGTGGAAAGGGGCAGTTATACAGCTGTTTTTCCTTCCCCAAGTAGCAATTTATTATTAATTGTAAATTTTTATGAGTAAGTTTCCATTCTCTTCCTCTGTAAGAACATATGCATGTTTGTGAATGTTTTTACAAAAATCAGATATACATGAGGGGGTAACACCCCATCATATGGAGCAATGAGTCGACGCAGACATGAGCATCAACTACATACAATTCAATTGATTAAGGGGGGAGGGTAGAAAAACAAACAAAAAAACAACAACCAGCAACTAAGTGTTTTATGGATCAGTAAAGCAAATTTACTTGGACCCCTTTTTACATTTACTAGAGGTTCATGTGATTTTAAACCATTTTTACCTTGTCGTTGATGCGGTCAATCTGTTTGTTCTGCTTGTCTATCTCACTTCCCATGTCCACAGCAAGGTTTTTCAAGTTGCCAATGATGCTGCCGACTGCCTCCAAATTCTCCTCCATTTCATCTTCACGTGCATCATTGGTTATTCTGTTATACATATGCAAAGTATACATATGTTCTGTTAAAGTGACTGCAATAGTTTTGGCAACACCAAAAAGTTCAAGAGTTTTAGCAATGTAAAAAAACCAGGACAGTACCTCTGGATGTATGGGCCTGATGGTCCCGCAGCATTAACCTGGACAGCCTGGCCATTGCGGACGCCTGAAGGCTGCATTGAGACCACTTTTGAGCCATCTGCATCATTTTCACCTTCAGTTCCTCCAGTACCCCAGGTACGCTTATACCGTGAGTCATTCTCGATTGATGACACCCTGGAGCAAAAAAAAAAAACCCCAGCGTGTCAGAATGCACAAACAAATGCAGAAGTACTTAAGTTCAGTCACTGCAACAATTACAGATGTTCAGTAATAGCCATGAAACTCAAAAGATTCCCTACCTTATATCTTGATAATCAAAGAATCTTCTTCTCCAAAGTGAAAGCATTTTGGGAAGATTTTTTTTGCCATGTTAAAACCATCACAGCATCTCAATGTGCACAAAAAGTGACACTCCAAAATCATCGCTGCATGGAGGATTTTAAGTGCATTTAGCCCAGATGAGTATGCGGCTCACATTAAGAAGTTGGCGGGAACACCATCACATTTCCTATCTGTCCATATTTGATTGGTAATGCTCACAAATTTAATCAGCAATCTTCTCACCACGAAATGTACATTTGCCAAGCAGAGAGTTTTTTTTCTCCTTATGTCACACACACAAACATTGTGAGCCACAGCAGCCAATCATGTATTCGTGAGAAATGTTCCTGACTGACCACTGATATTGTGGAGATCTTTAAGCAAATAATATTCAATATTTTAAGAGTTGTAAGCAAGAGGGTCACAGAGCTAAAACATACATTTTCCTTGAAAGTGTAAACGAATAAAGCCCATGTTCACAACTTGCTGTATAAAGTTCACATTACATACGTTTACGCTCTAGACAGGACTGTCCAGAGCGTAAACGTGAATGTTTAGTATCCTTTGAAGGATTAATACTTAGAATACTCTCTAGATTCTCGGGAGAAATGCTGCTTGGGACACAGCTGCTGCCCTCTCATTCTAAAAAAAAAACCAAAACAAAAAAAAACCAACCTGCTTTGAATTTTTAAAAATTCAACCAAATATTCTGCAACAAAGTCCAGCTTTTGTATTAAGGAGCAAAACTGAAAGGTTTTATGCCAATGCAAACAGTAGCAAAGTAATTCAATTGTCACTTAACATACATAGAAGAAATTAGTGCAATTTCTACTTTTGTACAACACCAAAATAAAACTGGTTGTACTGTAAAATGCAGTTTTCACAGTTTTACACAGACTGCTTGTGTGTTTGCTTTGTATCATTGTGAACCCCCATAAAAACAGTCACGTACACACAATGAACATACAAGCCAGCACAGCACAAAAAAAGGGTGTTATGGATCCAAAAGTCAGTGATTTAGATCTCTCGGCAGCTCCAAGTATGCACTATACCTATCACAGGGGCAGACACAGATGCCACAGCACTTGGAGAGGTCGGTAAGGTTTTTCTCAGCCTGTCTCATGTCCTGGTTGATCTGGTCCATGCCTCGCTCCACACGGCTCAACTGTTCTAAAACAGACAGGCACAGCACACCATGTCAAACTCTGCTTGCTATGCACTAGAAAACGGTTGTAAATTATGTTTTAAATATCACCTTGATTTATTCATTTTTAGAATAGATTTAATTATACTAAATGAT